GTCCTAGCTCATGTTAAATTGCCTAATGCAACACATACGAGATGCACTTAGAATAGGCTCGGCTAACCTAAGCATGGCATATGAAATGCAGTCAATTGATGCACGTATTCAAATTGGAATTGAAATACAAATGCAGTTAGCATGATGTACCGAGCCTGATGCATGTAGTACAGATGCATGGATGCACGCGTGCATAGCATAAGGTATGCTAAAATAAATGTGCCCTAATCTACCATCATAAGCAGGTAAATAAAAGGGAAGAAAGAGGTGGAGGTTGGAAGACATGCACACCACGCACACACACTTATTACAAGTTTGCCCTCGCTCGGAGGGACCAAAAAAAAAAATAATACAGTCCGAATAATAAATCGACTATCCTAGCTAATTAATTATTACAGACCCTTAATTAATTAACAAAATAAATACAGCAAGAAGGTGGCCGCAGCCCTGCCTTGGGATACGTGAGCGATGCATGCTTGATCCGCCTTGCCCGGAAAGTCCGCACCATAACACTGCCACCTCTGTTTATACTGCCCTGTCTCTCTGAAAATTGCCAAAACTCCAGGACAGGTTCTTTACACACTGCAGGGCACCACCGGCCAGACAGAATTCCCACCGGCACTTTACAATTTCCACCGGCTGTTCTTGAACTCATCGGCACTTCAGAGATTGCCGGTCGGCACTAAATTCTGCCGGTCGGCAGAAACTTCCTGCAGAAGACAGTTTTGACAGCAAACAGAGAACAGACAGTGCATGGCATGGGGTTTCAGGCCTATGTGAGAATGGTCATGCTTCCTATCATGCTTTGAACTCAAGGAAGCATGATCCTCGATCCTCGAGCCATCAATGGTGCATGATAGCTCAAAGGATCAAATTTGCCACTTGATGTAAAGATGCATGCAACAAACAAAATGAGAACCAAAGCCTTATCAAGTTGGAGTCAAAGGCCCCGGTGACCGAGAACCGAGGCACATTACATCACTTGAAGTATGAATGTTCCACATAAAGCCCAACCTCTATCACATTATCAAGAGGCAAGGCATGCATGGCAATGCAATGCAACCTAGGTATGCAAACAAGAATACAAGCATGCTATGCAACTACATGGCATGCACAATGCTAACAACATAACATGCACAACGCCTCGAAACATGGCATGTAGAATGCAACATGGACTTATACTAACATGAGAGAGCCTCAGCCACACTCACATGAGAGGCCGATGGATGAAAATGAAGTGTCTCGAAATGCGTGCATACGGGCACGCAAACCGAGGTAATGGCATATGCAATGCAATGGCCTGGAAAATGATATGCAAACATGCCAATGGGATTTCAGCACTGAAATGTGGGGGAAAACAGCCCCGAAATGAGGCGAAAACACACCCGATGCATGGAATAGTCCCGAAACATGGACTTTTGGCACCCGAAATGGCTTACAGCTATACAAAGCATGCACAATATGGACATGGAGCATGAAGGCAGAAGCAAGACAGCTCTGAGACAAGAATTTTTACAGTTTATGACATGGCCAAACAGCAAGCAAAGATAGGGCTAAAATGGCATACAAAAACGGCCCTAAACATGAGATTATGAAGCAACTCACAGCTGCTGACTCCAAACAGGTTAGGGCCCTTCAACAACATTGAAGAGGGGCCCAAAATAAGCCACTTTACAGAACTATAAAAACCCAAAAACAGTATCCAAACATGCTAGAAATGCAATGCAAAATGAGGCTCAAAAAGAGGCTATAACACAAAGTGTGCAAAATATTCAACAAACAGCCAAAGACCCTTAATAAAACATGTTAAGAAGGTCAAAATAAGACCTTTTCTAGGCCTGTAAAAAGATCAAAAACGGAAGCACAATGGGCTGCCAAAGCATGCAAAAATGGGGACCAAAAGAGAGTATAAAGGCAAGTATAGCATGGAGGTCCCAAACAGTGTTGAGCCCTTCTTCAATGTTGAAGAGGGGCTCAAAATAAGCCTATTTTCAGTTTACATCAGGCTCTAAAACAGATCACACGCAAGCCAAAAATTCTATGCAAGATTATGGCATTCAAGGAGGATATTGATGCAAGTGAAATATGGAGGGCTCAAACAGGGTTGAGCCCTTAGTGAAAGATGAAATACAGCTCAAAAGAAGGCTACTTTCAGTTTTGGCCGGAGCTCAAATATACCAGCAACAATGGCTTAGATATGAGGCAAGAATAGGCTAGAAAAGGGAAGAAGAGGACTCACCTTTGTAGACCAATGAACCAGCAGCTTTTGGTTGAAGTTTGGGTGCTCCTAGCCTCTGCAAATGACCTCCAATGTACTGGAATGAAGTGTAGGGGTGTGGTGCTATGGGTTGGTGAAGAAATGGCCCAAGAACAAGGGTATTTGATGATTGAATGAGAGAGATATGGAGAGAGATCAAGGGTTGTATGTATGTATATCATATATATATGGTATATCTCTGGTTTTTTTGCTTTAAAACCATCCAACCTTAACAATGGAGGAGGAGAGGCCCCTTATATAGGCAATACTAAGCTTCTAAGGCAAGCTTCAAAGGGTCAAAGGGGTTTAAAGGGGAGGTCAAGGCTTATTGGAGAAGCTTGGACAGCTGGTAGGCTTCTTGAGGAAGCCAAGATAAGGGGTCAAGGCTTCCTCAAGAAGCCTTGAGCAAAGGGTGCAAAAGAGGGGTCCAAAGGTGGTCAAGGGTTCAAAATAGCAACATATATGCACGGGGGAGTGTGCTGGTGCATTCCAACTGGCACAGCTGGGATGCACCAGGCTTGGAGGGTGCAAATGGTGCAAACCGGCCAGAAAATTTGGTCGTCGGCCAAAATAAAGTGCCGGTCGGCATAATATTTTTCCGGTCGGCAAAATAGATTGCCGATAGATGATTCCAATGTCAAAAAAATGGCCGGTGGGTTGCAAATTGAAGCCCCTCGGAGAGAAGGCTGGGAGGGTTGCGAGAAGCCACTGAGAGAGAATGGGAGAGAGGCAGAAATTTGGGGGGGAA